ATATATATATATATATATATATATATATATATATATATGTACATATTGTTAAAACCTTGTCGCAATAATTTGCAAATATATTCCATTATGCATCTCCTATTAGCTTTTACAATAATTTATTACATAATATCATTTTATAATTAATATATATATATGATAATACGCTAATTTTACATACATTATTAACAATCAATAAATATAGAAAATGTTGCACATATATAATTAGGTAAAAAAAATCGAGAAATTATCGTCACTGTATATAAACGATATATATTTTTTTTAAAAATGTCAAGGATGATACAATACATTCTTTTTGACAACATTTATTAATTATAAAATATTTTTTATGGCGCAAACGATGTACACTATTACCAAATTATTAAAATTATGTGTTGTGTGTACCGTAGCCGTATGCATATGGCATATTATGGCAAATCTTGAGGTATAAGCGTCGAAATAATTAAAAGATAATAAAGGCTAAAAAAACTGGAATATTATGACGTCATATCTAAAGAAAAATCTACGTCACATCCGTGTATATCCGTGACGCACGTGCAAGAAACTTGCACGGTGCTTGGAGCAAAAGTTGATAAGGGCGAAAGTGCGTATGTGTGTGCGCGCGGGGATGATGCGGCTTGACGCGGCTCGATGCGGCGCGCAAGCGCGACGGGTGCAGAGCTTTCGAGCCACGCGATGGTAGCAGTTGGCCTTCTAAAACCGCGAAACACGTCCCGCGTTTCCCGAGGAAGAGTGAGAACCGCGAGGGTGTCCGAGCCACGCTTTTTCGCCCGTTTACCGTGTACGTGCGCGTTTAGAGTAACAATCCGACGACCACCTCGATCGCCCGTTTTTCACCCTTCTTCTCGGTCATGTTCCTTACCATTCTCTTACATTTGACACTGACATCCGACACACGTACCGAATCACGGCGAATACCAACAACATCGTCATCATCTGTGCCTCGAACGTCGTGACATCGTGCATCAATCGAATCGATCGAATGCTGACGATCGAGAAAAATCGTGACCTTGAAAGTCCACGTGCAAGCGGAATATGTCAAATCAGAGGGCAATTAACGCGCGTTAACCGGCGATAATATGCTAATGGAGAACAACCGTGATACTCGCGTATCTTCTTCAGCGGAAGCTTCATACACGATCGGTTTGTAATACATGTATGATATCTCATGTGGCATGATCTTTATTTAATTTAACTTTATCGTTATCGCAATCGTTTTTCATCGTTTCCAAAACGTTTTTCTTTCCGATTTAACTGACCGAACGTGATATTCAATTTTCACCGTGAGCATGAAGCATGTACATACAGCTATAATACTATTGATTGCTCAGCCAAAAAAAACTCTCCATTTATTATATTGTCATAGTATATATCGCCACAGACAGTTTTATAATAGATTAAGAAAGAATTAGAAATTTTTCAGAAAAACTTTTTTCGTTAACATTCGACAAGAAACAGATTTCTGTTGTATATATTTCTGTTATATGTACATATAAATATTAAATAATATTAAATATTAGATTAAGAATGAATTAGATAAATGGCAGTATTAGATTTTTTCTTAATTTTCTTAATTTTTGTTCTATGTAATTTTATGTCCTAAAAATCAAATATTAATTGCCTCAAAATAAACGCGGCCATATGTAAATCATATTTTATCAACGTTGTATTGTTGAATTTCCAAAAATTTTATCGCGTTTTGTATTTTAAAATTCTTGAATAAAATGCTTAATCTTTTTGTATAGAAGAATATTTTATATACATCTTTAAGATAATACGTTATGTGAGAAGTATTAACGATACGGAGCAAAACGCTCCGAGATACGCGGTAGATACACGGCGGATGAAGTTGATCGCGTTAATATACATACATAGCAGACACTTTAAACATTATGAACACTCTAACGATTATACCGAGCCGTTGTTGTTTCAAAGCTTATTTATATTTTTTCAATATTCAAACATTATTTTAATTTTTCACTCGCGACACACTCCGTTACATTGCATCAACACATTGTTATGTTGCACATTGTTATGTTTAGAGTTGTGCGAGGGGTGAAATGTACGATAAAGAAAGACAACGACAAAATGTCCAACCTATATGAGAGACAAGATTGCCTGTCCGAAGATTGAAAGCTTATCGAAAGAATATTCGCTATTCAGTTAAAGATTACGCGAGTCAATCAATTAATCCTCCTTGCGCGTCGAGCAGACCAATAAGAACACATTATTATAATACGGTTCAAAAGTTCAAACGAACATACATAGTAATGATCCGATTTTGCAATTATTTTCGCTTTTTATGAAAAAATATGTTTGCGAAAGAATCAATTTACTAATTAAAGAATTTCAAAATTAATATTGATGCGAAATTAAATTATATATAACATATAACTGTATTCATAAATGACTGTGCTCGTAAATTACATCATTTTTAAATTTAATCGTACGTATCGTTAATCTTTGTAGGATAGCGAACATACAGAAAAGCGATAATTGTGTGATTATGCTTGTACGATGATAAAATTCTTCAATTTATAATGAAAACTTGAGAGAAATTGTTTAGAATATTTCTCTCTTCCATCTATCATTCGTTATGTCGATTCAATGTACGAATCCATACACAATTTGTCTTCATTGTCGCAACATATTAAATTAATTTACTACGAAACATGATTATCTATTCTTTTCAAGCAAGCAGATATTTTTTATCAAAATATCTGAATTTTACAAGTATAAAATGAATGTCTAGAGAGTTACAAAGGATAATAGACTATTGACACCTACCGACTTCCGGCTTACACGATTATCATTTGACCAATCTTATGCAATTTTACAATTGGCCGCGACGGGGTCACAAACGTGAATGTGATACCAAGCCTTATACAGAACAGATTCCTCCTTCCTCCAACTCGACAAAGTTCATTTTATATTATAATGTGAGTTATGCCGGTAGCAATGTAGAAAAAGAAAGAGAGGAAAAGAGAAAGATTGAAAATAGATATATCAAACAAATTATAGCAGAATAATTAATGTATTATGACATTACATATATTTATTTTACATATATTTTATTTTTTACATATTTTATAAATTGTCCAATCATTTTAGTTTTTTATTATGTATGATATACATTACTAGATCTATAATAATCTTCTTAATTGTCAGTACAAAAAAAATTATTTAATAATAATAAACATTCTATTGATCTAATTATTTAAATATATTTGAAATCCCAAATTGATTGTTGATAAAATATTGAAGCAATTTAAAAATATAAACATATTATTCTCATATTGTTTCGTATACGCAAGTATTGCAAAATATTCAAAATATTATTTTCTCGATTTTTCCGTTCAATTCCTCGCTTCTCTACCCTTGATATCCTTTCTTATTCTTCCGATCAGTTATGTAAGTTATCTCTACCCTTTCTTGATCCTCTCTCTTGATCGCAATTCCGTAAGTTCCTAAAGAAACAGGGAAAGAAATCACACGTAGATTTAGCTGAACCCTCATCGAGAAACGTGACATAAGGATTTTCTGTTTGAGACAAGCATTTTTCATTACTCATACAAAGTGTATATAAAGATCATTTAACATCGTGCTGCATGTTTATGCTTTTGAATTCATTTTCTCAAATCACTTGCGACATATAAATGTATTTTTTGACATATAAATGTCAAAAAATAAGGATACTTTATACTCAATAAAATATACTTTTCGTCAATGAAATTTAATACCATTTTTATGAATATTGTAAAATTAGATTGATTAAAGATAAATTTTTATGAGAATTTTACTTATGAGAATTTAAAATTGATTTGTTTGTTATTTGTGTAAACATTTAAAAGAATACTTTTAATATGAAGAGTAGATATTTTCGATTCGCCGTTCCAGGAAAATGTATTCTTCATTAATGAGTTGGCCGTTCTGGAAAACTTACTTTTTTATAGTACTATGTGCATATCGATCGCCATTGGTACTATTCATCCGTAATGACCAAGTTCAACGGCGGCCTTCTTCAACACACGGCTACGGTGTAAGATCGAGTATACGTGTATTACACTGTTGAAACGAGGGAGGCCACGAGGACGCGAGAGTGCGGGGTCAAAGATGATCGTGATAATCACTCAACGATGAATATCCATAAATAGCCGTAGTTGGCGAGCGGTTTATAGACAACGCTGAAAGAGAATGTCGAAGCTCTTTGAAACTGATTGTTCACGTATGGCATGAGCAGCTCTACTACGGAATACGGAATACTTTAATTTGTTGCGATGATTGATGTTAATAATATGTAATATTACATATTACTTTCAACACCGAGACATACAACCAAAGGTATTTTTTATGATTAAACAAATTTAATAATAATTTTGTATTAATAGCATTACAAAAATCGATTCGCCATATTGATAAATTCTTTCGATAAGTTTTCATTTGACTACAATACATACAGATATTCTGAAGACGAAAGCAACTTTTGATTAAAAAAAAAAAAAAAAAAAACAAAGATCCATACGCAAAATCTGATGACGCGACAAGATAGGTTTAATATTGCTCCAAAAGAAATCATATCCGAAAGGGCAAAGTTCTCAGACGTCTGATATTTCTGGCATAAAATGAAGCTGTCAGCCAATAAAACCGTTGAGGCGAGAAAATTTACTCAAAATTAGATTACGTTAATACGCGTTTATCCTTCACTTTGATTGTTTCGTCATTAATCGCAGCAGCGATTGCGATACGTTGTAACGCGGGAGGACTAAGAGTCTACTTGAGGCTGCTCTCTAAGGCTACTGTTAACTGGGATTCTCTGTATTACCATATATGCGGATGAAACAGGATCTGCTCTCAGACCTAAACTATACTATCGTTGGTTTAGCTTTACAGATCAGAATTGCTTTGATCAAACAGCGATAAATGTCTGCACGGATGAAAGCCTAATTTAACTTCTGTTCTCACTTTGGATGCAGCAGAAACAACCATGAATCTTTTTCATACCTCGCCGTCGTGTCTTACTCAGCACTTTACGGCACTCTATTTCAAACTTGGACAGTAAGACAAAGTATTCTTAAAATGAAATTTGACGTTCAGAAAATATTGGCTTAATATCCATTGGAATCGTGTTGATTTTATTATACACTTATTATTACTCTTAGTCTTATAACATTTATAAAATATATTTCTGTTTAAATATAGGTTATATATTTTTTTAGTAATATCGAGTAAAATCTATAATAATGTACTACTTATAGATCTATCTTACAGATAGATTGCGTGCGCACAACTAATAGCATACAAATAATAAAAATTAGATTTCGTTTACGAAAGGATATTTGTTTTATTAAAAAAACGATGAAAAGAGACTAACAGAGAATTTTATTTTTTATAAAAGAATGAAGCATTTGCTCAACGGATCGCGATAATTACAGTATGATGTAAATGAAATTATCCAACTCGTAAAATTGTTAATTCATTTCTTATATCAACATCTCTTGTAGAAGACAAACTTTTACGAGTTTATTTACTTGTTTCAGATATTTAAAAGAAAGATAATCCTAGCCGAATGAAAATACTGCTGGAGACGTAGAAGAAATCTAAACTTTACGACACCACCTCTCAATTATGTGTTGTGACTACGTTCTCTACGTTACTTTAACGTGTACGTGTACATATTGTGATCGAAAATGAAACTTTAATATTGTGCCAAACGTCTCTCTTTATCAGATAGATTTAGACACTGTGACACCACTGTGACTAATACTCGACACGACTAGCTTCAAGCTTCAAGCTTCAAGCAACAGCCAAATAATAAAATGACAAAAATGACAAAAATGAATTGAATATCTATGGAGTATGTGTACGTTTATGTGTAATTTGTAATTTGCAACTTTGGACGTTGTAATGATTCGCGGCATCTCAGTGAAACGAGATGAGAGGACAAAACGAGACGGAAACGAGAGGTCTCGTAAACATTTGTGCAGACGCGATGCCGAAGCCCTGACGTCTAGCGAAGCTCGCCTAGCGAAGATTAGAAGAAGATTACGATCATCTCGGGCAGTTACACGTCAGGGTGATTAGGGTCGAAAGCGCGTACCGTCGTAGCGCTACGGTACGGCTGCGCACGGTGAAACATGAACGACAGCGAGATTTATCTATTGAACTGGGAAGAAGAGGCACACGCATCGGACAACGATCTTGGCAGGAGCTTTTATAACGCGAGCTATCCGCCATTCAATCACACCTACGAGGATCTCTGGGGACGCGCCACGGATCGAATCGGTCTCGCGATCCTACTGCTGCTCTTCTCCGTAGCTACTGTTTTCGGGAATTCGTTGGTGATTCTCGCGGTATTCCGAGAGAGGCATCTGCACACAGCTACAAATTATTTCGTGACTTCATTGGCTTGCGCCGATTGCCTGGTGGGACTGGTAGTGATGCCTATCAGCGCGGTATACGAGGTACTGGAGAACCGTTGGCTATTCACGACGGACTGGTGCGACGTTTGGCGCTCGTTGGACGTTCTCTTCTCCACCGCGTCTATTCTAAACCTGTGCGTCATTAGCCTAGATCGTTACTGGGCGATTACCGATCCCTTCACGTATCCAACTCGCATGAGCAGGAAACGCGCGGCGATCTTAATCGCCATCGTATGGATTTGCTCGAGCGCGATCTCCTTTCCGGCGATAGCGTGGTGGCGTGCCGTTCGTACCGAGCAAGTGCCGGAAGACAAATGTCCCTTCACGGAAAACCTCGGTTACCTGATATTCTCGTCGACAATCAGTTTTTATCTACCGCTATTCGTGATGGTGTTTACCTATTATAGAATCTATCGCGCCGCCGTAATACAGACGAGGAGTCTGAAACTCGGCACGAAGCAGGTGATGATGGCCTCGGGCGAGCTCGAGCTCACGCTGAGGATACACCGAGGCGGTGCCACCAACACCGATGCCAGGCATCTTTTTCGCACCGCTTCGAGCACACCCGAGGACCTCCAAGATCTCGAGGAACCGTTAACGGCTCTTCACAACAACGGTCTCACTAGAGTGCCCTCCGTGAGGATCAACAACAAGCAACATCTAGGCAAAAATTTCTCTCTCTCGCGTAAGCTCGCCAAATTCGCCAAAGAAAAAAAGGCAGCCAAGACTCTTGGTATCGTTATGGGTGTCTTTATTATTTGTTGGCTGCCGTTCTTCGTTGTGAATCTGTGGTCGGGATTCTGCACGAGGTGTATATGGCAGGAAGAGATAGTATCCGCGGCCGTCACCTGGCTCGGTTGGATTAACAGCGGAATGAATCCCGTGATATACGCTTGCTGGAGCAGAGACTTTCGTAGGTGAGTCTTTTGTCTTGCACTCGCACGATACTTTCTCTTTATTCTCTTCTTTACGAATATTTTAACAAATATTAACAAATATTAATGTTAGCGTAATTGACAATAAAATTTACAATTGAATCAAATCTTTTTCTCGTTATATTTCTTGTGAACGTATTCCACATGATCGGTACAAGTATCGTTGGCGTTTCGCAACACTTGTACACTCGTGTCGAAACACGCTACAAGTGTCACTGTTCGTTGAGTGAAAATTCCTAAATCTACGTACGGCACGGTATCTATTTTCTTAGCAACGTACGCCGCTAATGCGATGTCTCACATTATTGACATGCACTATTATCCGTTCATCTGTTTCTCACGTCATATACCGCGTATAGCGAATACAATACGACAGTAGTAGAGAGATTAGAGTATTAACGCGCTTACATGTCACTATCACACACCGATTTGTGAACACAGAATGTAGTTTACAATCAATCATCACGCGCTGACGTTACCCGGTATTCACCCGTTACCCTTAACTTAATCGGGGATGCGAATATCGGTATTCTATTCCTTACGATAATAGTTGGTTCGTCAACCAACTATACCAAAATGCATTATCGAGCGAGTCACGATCAACGATGAGGATAATTTTTTTAAGAGAGAAGGAAAATTCGAAAAAGAATACCCGTGTGACCGTACATCGATTTTAAGTCGACTCTCCTCCCCTCACCTGAAACTATCTCCATTTAAAACGTATATATAGCCAAGGTATATATACGATAGATGTATATACAGTAGGGATTTTCCAGGAAGACAGGAAAAGAGAATTTGGCTAGCGAGATTGTGGGTGGATTAGGCGGAGACCCTTTAGCAAATTACTTTTATTCGTCCGCGCGAAATGAGCCTGAAGTTTCAGGAACGGGCGCGTCCGGTATTTTCTTCTCTCGCCTCTACCAGCGCTACCTAAAAGATACTCGTGAAAAGCATTCATCATCTTAAATACCTTTTCGACTTGATAGCAGCTGTAGCAATTGAGAATTTTCTTTACAGTTTTCTTTGCTTTATGTACGTGCCAATTCTCTAAAATATATTATACATAAATATATATATATATTTATTCATCTGAAACGGAGCTCGATGTATAATGTATATTCTTATAAAACTAAAAAAATAATAATAAATATTAAAATGTTTCAGTCGATTCGAATTTTCTGTAACGGTGATACCAACATAATATTTACATAAAATGATAATACAATCTAATTAGATTAAAAGAGAAGAAATCCAAAAAAGTTTAAATTAATAAACTATATATAAAAGTTACTATGAACTGTTATCGCAACGTCGTCGAAAGAAACAAATTATATTTAATATTTGTTAACGCGAAGACGTAATGTTCGTCCTATTTTTGGAACGAGAAATTTTAATAATTTTAATAATAAGTAAGAGAAGTTACGCTTACATAATGTTCTCTCAAGCAACAACCAAGGAATTAACGTGCCGATTGTGTGGACATGTCCGCGCTAAATCGCGAATCGCGTGCGAAGCAAATTACGCTACTCGATGGGGGCGATGTAACGCTGACGTTGAATAGATCCGATACGGTTTGGCTGACGCCAAACGACGTTGTGTACAGCAATCCCACGTGTAACTATCACGCTTCACGGATATTTTACTCCATGCATACAGGTAAATGTAAAATCAATAGACCGTGCTTTCTTTATGGTATATACAGAGAGCTGTGTGAGGGCCTATCTTCTAGGTCGTAAAATGGATAGTTCGATCGTTCCAAACAAGCGGATATTAATAAAAGGACTAATTGGCAACTTTGTACGTGAAAAGAAATCGACAATTATGACAGATGCCGAGCTCATTAATAGCAACAAGAGTAGCAAAGATAAACGAAGATAACGAATCGATGATCGCCGATCGTTCATTCATAACATCTAGCTTCAGCAAGTAATTTTATACGAAGAAATCCGGGGCAACCGTATCGCATTGATCCATGTCTCACGTTTCCTGAAACACCTTCACATCGAGTTAATTATAATCGTAACTATAATCAAGCCATTTAGACAGAGTCTAGATAACCCTTTTTCCTATATCTAATGTAAAATTACAAATATAGGTAACGCCAAGATAACGGCAAAGTTTTCGTTAAATGGTAAACTGGTAAAGTTGTCGTGACCAGCGATCGATTTCTTTAGCTTGAAATAAGGCTGAAATCAAACTTCTGACGTACTTAATAATCGCATTTAATCCAATCGATTTATATTTTGATGTTAACCATAATTTACAATTCGGATTACACACGACAGCTTGATATTCGATAAAAAAGTCTGAAGATCAGATCAGATTTTTAACTTACTTTGCAATTTTCCGCGAATCGTTATGCGTATCTTGCGGAAGACAGCATACAACAGTGCAACAGAGTTTACCTCATTAAATTTACCAAGACCTCTCGAGTATGATGTAATTAAAAGTTTCTATTCGGTATACTGTATATAGAGGATGCGAGTGTACACGTTCCATTCCGCTTCGGCTGGAATAAACGCGGATTCTTACGAGACTTTTCACGACGATACAAATGATAAGATATAAAAAGATACAAAAAAAAAAAATTAAAAAGATTTTTACCGAGACTCTAAGAAGATATTCCAGAGAATAGTTGGAAAAAATTCATTTATGAATCAAACAACATTAAAATTATGCGAGAAGTTAAAAATCATTATATTCATGTCGATAAGGACTTTGAAGCATAAACCGTACGAATTGGTCGCACTCAAACAAAAGCGGTATTACTGCGAAACCGGAAGAGTAATCTACCTCCCGTTCGTAAAATCTCAAATTCCACATTTTCAAACTTTTACTTTGCATCGTATCGCGTGGATTATTTCATCTCTCTGTCAATGCTACTTTATCTCTCTACGTCTCTATAAGCTGACATTAAAAAAGGTCCGGTGCGTTCCAACAAATAATCCGTGATAAACCATGACAATAACGCACAAAGTGAAATTATTACGTATCATTTTCTGCGTATGTGTCCCAAATTCTTCTTTCTTATTGCTATATCCTTTGTTAAAATGTATTAAATGTATGAATGTATGAAAGATAATATCCTTTTTTACAATAATATTCTTTTACATGTACATATTTGTATACGTATGTATAAATATAAGATACAAGTATATACAATGTATACAAATTAGATTAAATTATCATTCTAGAATCACTTTATTGCTTACATTTTATTGCTTTATTAAAATCATGAATTCAAAAAATGAGTCGCAACACCCAGATTAAGATAAAAAATTTTTAACGAAATTGCCAACATGCTGAAAACGATGCATATTATATCAATAAGAATATATATTGATAAGAAAGGGATACAAGCCAAAGTTTTATTCGAAATTGAAGGAATGAAGGAAGAAAGAAACGTACGAAATATTCTAGTTCTTAGTTGGACTGAAAACGAAAATAGGTTACCGAGCTCATAAAGACATTGCGAATTCAGGAACTGCCAATTTTTTATTATTGTTTCGCAAATATTATCGACGTTAGCATGTCATTCCTCGAATAATCTACTTCCCCTTTTTTATCTCCGATACCTGATACAGCTAATATACATGTTTCAAATGCAACAGCGATTATAAAAAATATAAGATAATGGTTTGATTTTTACATGACAATAATAATCACTAACGCGATATTAAAATCTAAATTTTTCACTACATTCAACATGAGCTAAACTGTAATTTAGGATGCAAGCGTTATATTACGAGGAGCAACAAAAAATAAACATCCACAAAAAAATTAAAAAAATAAATAAACACAAATTTCATAACAAAGTTCTTTATATCGTATGGAAAAAAATATTAATTTAGTTTATTATTTTTTAATTTAGATATTACCACTCGCTAATTCTCTATAATTTACTTTTTATAAAATTAACAAATTAATAATATCTGACTCATCTAAATTAGATATATAATTCAGGATTAAAATATGCAATTTTATTTATTTGTTTAAATATACACAATTTCATATTGATTTCATATCTGGGTATAATAATATGTGAATTGGTTAAATCAAAGTATGTCTCAATTGGTTTAATCAAAAGTCTCTCTCTCTCTCTC